AGGCCTTGATCCTTTTGGTTTCGTAGATTACCAAAGGGACAATTTTTGCTATTTAAGCTCTTGTATAATCGCACCTTTAACCCACTCACCTCTTTAAGACATCGCGTCCACCCCCGACGTAAAAGTAATCGTGAGGTCCTTTTATTTTTTCTTCTGGCACGCAACATTGAATATCGTTGGTTCTTTTTTGTAAATGCAATTGCTATTTGGAATAAACTACCGAGGAATGTGAAAACTCTGCAAAAGTATCCTTTATTTAAGAGAACTATTACTTGATCTTTGCATTCAGAAAAACTCCTACAAATTTTGGGTGCTAAATCCACTGATCGACTTTACCGTAGGGATGACATTTGTGGTCTATAAACACCATGGCCGGTCTCATCAGGGAAAATTTCTTTGGCCAACAGCGACAGATGTTCTTCGGCGCTTCTGTTTGGACAAACCCCAACTTCATGAAAGAAATTGGCGATTGATATTATCCGATACCGTGCAACCCCTCCCTTCTTGTCGGTCGACAGTTTGCGGTTATCAGGTTTTTTCTCCTGAACCCTCTAAACCATAAAAACCACAATCATCTATATTTTATTCCATTTCCACAGGAGTTTTTTTCACTGCTGGCCGGATTTTTGTTTAACACTTCCCTGACAATGCATGTACACTGGCATTAAATACAAATCTTATTATTATTATTATTATTAACACCCTTCCCCCCACCTCGACTGAACTCTAAATGTACTGTGAGCGATCGCGCCCAGGCTCCTCTTGTCACGCCCCTAAGACGTGAATGACCTCATCTGGCGTATGAATTCTGACCCAATGGAGTCTGTTTCAAAGCTCTTACTCAATACCGCATGCGGGTCACTCCTGTCTGACTCGCATACTTCCCCCTTCACGAAATCCGCCTTACACTGCCACATACAGGTCGGTCATGCACACTTTTTATCCTTTCATCAGCGAAAGTTTTGTTAACCTAAAATGATAATCTAGTCATGTTCATTTTGATTATTTAATAGGAGTCTTTCACCGCTCGCACATCATTCTTCGTAACAGACTACTCACAGAATATCTACGAATTAAGTATAGCATAGATTCCGTCTACCTATTCTAAAATTCATATAATCATTTCATCTTACTTTAAATGGCCGAACTCCCACGAGTCTTTAATAACAAATTATTTATTTATTTTATTTATTTAATACCACACTTCAGACACACGATAAGACAATTACTATAGCAAGTTCATTGTACGAAGAGGGAAGGTGCGTAGGACGAAGAACAAAGGGGCCGTGTAGTCCAGGTAAACCTTAACCTCGCAGTTATCCGGGGAGAGTGGATTTGGAAGCCGCCACCAGGGAAGAATGATTGATTTTTCCACACACCTCAACTTGGAACAGAAGAAAGAAAGTAGACAGTATCCAGACATCAGGCACCTCTACTCCCAAACTTGGCGTTCCTTCCTATTAAAACAATACTGAGTCATGTCTGTACACTACTATGTAACCGGTCAGCTAACCCGAATCACATATCAATAGGAATTGTCGCGGGTATGACGTGTAACGTCCGTTTCGGATGGATTAGTATGGACGGAGCGAGACTGGATGGGGACAGTCTCCCCTTCTTTACAACCTGAGGATTAACTTGAGGATCTGCACATAGAGCATCCAATATTCTTCGCAGACAGACTCAAACACACAATAGAGTGTGTAATAGTGTGTAAACGTCAGTAGAAAACCCATCACGAATCGAAAACAGGAACTAACAAAATAGGCGGCCTTGGGAAAATATGTATATACATCAAAGTAAAGAATTAACCAGGAAAAAGACAGAAGGTGGAAAACAAAATGTAACAATGATTAACGAGAGAACAAACATATAACAAACGAGGGTGGAACTTATCAAGTATGCAGACCACCGGCTTTGATCGTGCCCATGTGACGAGCTTGGTCCGAGAATCTCTACAAGATTAGTATTCACTTGTTTATTAAAACAAGATCCGAACCCTATGCTCTATTTGGGTTGTTACAGACGTAATAAAGTAACCAACCAGTGACCTCGGATTATATACCAATAGGAATTGTCGTGGAGGCTGACGACCCTATAAAACACCCTACAGCAATTGGGCTCGACTGTTCGTGATCATAAAACTGTCGACACTTTTCAAAATAGAATCGCCTTTTGCAGTATTATTTTACACTCCGTTTCTAGCTCCTATATTCCTGGATGATTTCCACATGTGTAGGATTTATTCACATGTTTTAAACACTTTTCTTCCGTGTGTTGATCGATGAAACAAACGCGAACTTTCACAGGAATGATAGAAAGAAAACAGTATGAAAACCGGGGGAGTTGCTCATAGCGCAGAGGAAAAGACGTTTTCCAAGCGCGGTGGTAGCAGTGTTAACGCAATTGCGGCATTCATGCGTATTTTAGTCTAATATAAACGGGTCTCCTTGCAATTATTGATAATGCGACTGGCGAAGAAAGGATCACGGTTATCTCTGAAATGCGCAAAACCGTATTTTCTGCACAGATCTAGTCAAGTTACTCTAGACTTACTAGGACAGCCTTTTACGATGCGTGTGGACAATGACGCAAAACTTATTTCGGAAACCTCCCGAGACTTTTTAACCCAACAAAGATAATTCTTCTGCAGCACTCCATCCGATCACCTATCCTGATTCTTATATACTCCGCTTTTCACTTGGTGGAGATGGAACACTCCAAGAAAGCTTGAGCTGAGGAACTTTGTACTTAGCGTCTGGAGGGATGTCGCTAGGGGTGAAACCAAGCCTCTGGCACTGACCATAGTTTCCAGAATTCAAGAATTCATTGCTTTCAAGGGTTTTGCAAATGAGTTTTAAAACCTATTAAATGTATAGTTCGGTTAGTTTGTTGAAGGGTTTTATCCGTTCAGATGGAGCGTGGGACGCCTGGGTGCTGTATTTCGTTTTTCTCCCACTAAATTCTCATATAAAAACCCTCGGATGCAAGTTGCACTCTCGACCTACGTTCATTATTAACTTTGCTTCCAATATGCTATGGCTAAAATAACGACTTTTCCGGCGTCCGAATAGTTGTAGACCTGAGTGTTATTTTCTGGCAGGTTTTCTAGATTGACTCCCAACTCCTCCACTACCGGGCAACCAAACAGAATCCACTTTTCTGTGCATTATCGCAGGACTACAGGCACATGCACTTCCGCATTTTGCCGTTTCCTCTTCACATACGTTGCCTTTATCTAATACAGCCTCCTCATATTTAATTACTGTCATTTTTCACTTTGTGTGACCGATGTTTGACTCTGGTTACGCCTCGGCTACTTTGTTATACTATGTGGTCAAATACCGTAGACAGTCGAATTGCAGTCACTTAGTGTAGGTAAAGCACGCTTACATACAATTTTTTGATTTAAATTGCAACGCTTCATTACGTCCACGGCTCCTTCAATTTTTTTGGTAGCTTAGGCGTTACCAGAAACGAACACTAGAAGCTGCAGGGTTAAGCACTTCCGTATTGTTAGCTAACAATCCGTAAATATTTAACCCCCAGGGTATTATAGTAAACTACTTTTCGTTTTGTGCTCGCCTTGGTTTTACGATCTATCAAATACGTACGCGTTATGCCCACTTAAAGAGCGAAACACTGGTGGGGGGGTGCCTATACTGTACGGAGTGAGGTGTTGATTTAGCTAACATGTAAGTTCAGAGCCTGCGTGTACTCCCAGCACATGCTGGTCGCGATTGACGTGGTGGTCGCGATTCCCGCGATGGCGTCTCTATTCTTCGGGTTTAAACAGCTTGACTTCAACGTCTATCTAAGCGGCATGACTGACAAGAAGCCGTCGTCTTAACTGCATTTGGCTCTGAAGTTCTTTGAGCGTCTTTGGAGGGTTTATTTTTAGATGGATATACTGCTGGTGATATCTGATGTAACACAATGAAAGTAAAACGCGTGAGGACTTGGAGCCAAGTCTTTCGCGGACTTTAACAGGTACCCTTTTGAGGATCACGGAAGCAGGAGAGGAGTTGCCCCACGCATGAATACTGAAATTTTAGGATCGTGAATATTTTTATTACAGGAGACGTCTAGGCGCAACTTTTCATGCGTTACGTCAGAGATACCTGCCTGTGAGTTACCACAAACTGACAGGGCATCGGAATTATTCCCTAAGTACTTGAGTAGTTTGTAGGACGAGAAATGTGTTTCCCCTCGTGCTGTTTCCTAGCCCTACAGGTCAGCTGTTCAGACGATACAGTCTTACTGCCTCATGTGATTGTCTTTCAGGCAGGAAAACATGCTTACGTTCGTCATTTTGACTGCTGGTCTACACAGCCCTTAGTTTTTCTTCTGCCTGGTCATCCGTCAAAAATCATTATATGGTCCATATGTTCGCGCATGTCCTTTTGGACTTCATCAAGACATGGTTACTTCAGAAGGGCTGGCGGTTGCAAATCCTGTATGCTCGACCCGCACATCCTACGAATTGAACTTGTTTCCTTGTGAACCTTCAAAAGGCGAACTGTTGGAGATATACATTGATTTGGAACAACTTTCCGGGAGTGTGGATACCACTCCGGGTGATATGGCAAGCTTGACTGGGTTTTGTTGAAACGTTTCGCACAACCCTGATGAGCATTTTTTGTTTCGGCAACGCCGTCAGACTTGTGAGCTGCGAAATTCCTAGGGACACCAGCACAGCTATGCTAACTACTTATTTGACTATGTGTTAATATGGGGTATTTCGCGGTCGCACACAGAGGAAATACAGTTAGGTAGCCTGTCTCACATAGCCATGGACGGTGGTTAGACAGTGTTGTTCCTTGGCAATCTTCTTCTAAGGTTAAACTCACTGGGCCCAACCATAGCTTGCGAATGACATTTGTGTAGTACCATCGACCTTTCCAGCGGAGCAGTTAAGCTTTGTCAACCAAAATGAACGAGACTGGGGCATCAAGTTCAAAATGAGGTCCATCGTCAAAATTGGGGGCATGCGAAGCTAAATGGCTTGTGAAGTGCATGGATCTGGAAATTTCCATCCGCTGATAGTAGAGGCAGGTAAGAGCCATCTCGCTTGATGCATTCAAAATCAAACAACTAGAACGTGCGACATGCTCAACCCAACCTGTTTTATCTTGAATTTTCTCTGCACAATGATATCCTCTATTGCTCCAGCAAAGAAAGCTAGGTGGCACAATGGCATTTGTGTTTGTAGCTACATTTCACGCCTGCAAAGTTTCAAGCGGATCTGAAAACGATAAATACCAGCTTAACCTACACAAAACCTTGGCACCGATGGGCACCTACTTGGCGTTACAAAGTGATGTTTTTTACCGTCTACTTCCGACCCATATTGATGTAAAGATCACAGTTTTCTTCCTTACCGAGAGTGCGCAAACATCAAGGGAACACCAGACAAGTTGCCAGCACGTCCGCTAGCTCGGCATAACTTCGCCGTTATTTCACACAACACCACATTCTATCAGTCTTACCATCCCTATCTTCTTTATGCATAGAAATGGCCGCTAAGTGGGACCCTATTTTTCAAATCTCTCACAGTTGTTACGCCTCATTTTTAACCTTGAATTGCCTTTAAATAGGCCACTTTCTACTCGCTGCTCTTCTAGATTGTCACTACCGCCTTTTCATGAGCAACCTGTGATGAACCCGTTACTTGGTTACATGGAACGGTTCCGGAAATGTTCTCCCGCACTGTGTTATTCATGTTCAACAAATTCCAGTAGAAGAATTCACAAAGGCTGGCTCGTTTCTCCTAGAAATTATTCCAACTCCTAATCGATGCATCCTTCTAGACTGATACCTGTTTCTTTGGATCACGTCACTTTTACTCTGCAACTGTGGAACCTCTTCTCCTTGGTCATCCCGCGCGTCTTATTTTTACGACTTGCTGCCGACCTAATGACTGACACCTCAACCCATCTGGTTTAGGTCAGAACTGAAAATTTTCAGCCCGAGCCAAGTCCCCTTTCGTATGGTGAAAATGCGGATTACTAGAACGTTTACCTCCTCATGTGTCCTGTACTCCGTAATAATTTACTCATTGCTCACTTCCTTCCTCCTTCTTCTCAAACTAACGCCGGAGGATTCGTCTACAAATTGTGAGAGTCCTGATTCTCACAGGTCTTTCCAACGCCAAGAAGCCCATATTCTCCCCAAAATTTTTCTTATAACAGCCACCTATAATAGGCCTGAACAGGCAGCTGAGCTTACCCGTTTGTGTCACACCTTTCTCCACGTGCCTAATATCCACTGGCTGGTAATCGAAGACGCCGCAAATATCTCTTCGTAAGTTCCTCTGTGGTTTCTTCGCTTCTAGTGTCTACCCATGCCGCCCTTCACTGCTAGCTTTAACCATGTTCTCCGCAAGTGTTAATACACATGGCCATGTGTTTCTCTCGTAGTTTTTTTCGATAAGAATGCGCTTTCCGTCTTTCACATTCCTACTTTTTGCCTAAACTCAATGTCGTGCTTTGTTTTTCCCGGCCGCACTTGGCAGCAAGGTGTCAAGACTACTTGGTCGCTGTGGCGTCCCGTTCACCTTGCTTCACGCAAAGACGCCCGCCGCAGAGGTTCAGAGACCTAATGAGCCACGTTGGCGTCACGCACGTGGTGTGGCCCAGAGAAATCGCGGTCTCCGCTGGCTTCGCGAAAATCTCGTCCGCGACCAAGACAAGGGGGTCGTCTACATGGCTGATGATGATAATACATACTCCCTGCAGCTCTTTAATGAGGTGAGACTGGCGGGTGTTGTTGGATTCCTAATATTTTTGAACTTTTGGATTCGCGCCGAATATCCACTGCGGGATTTCGAATGCTATTCATGTTTATTCGTATTTATACAACTTCAGTTTTCCCTTTTGTCATCACTTAACTTTCGACGACATTCTTCCCCATAGATTTCCGCAGTTAGCAGGAAGTGGATGATGGCAAAGCGTGAGGCAACTGCTGCAATGAAGAGAAATTGTGCAACACAAACAACTTGAGAATAAAGGGTGGGATTTGAGTTGTTGCTGTGTGATCAGTAGTATTGGGAAAATCGGCCAGCAACCATACCAAACAGAAAACGCTGGTTTTCGTCCGATTGCCGAGGTTAAGCCACGTTAATTCCGAGGAGTACTTGCGTTGGTGACCGACCGGTGACAACGGGCGTTACTGACATCTCTGTTTTGCTCCCCCACAACAGACTACGCGGGAGATGCGCTGGACCGACATGGAGCCATGCTAAGGCACTGTACACGTTGCCCACAGATGGGCGGTGTGATAAAATACTTAGGCTCAGGCTCACGCCGCAACGGTCACTTACGCTCAGTTTCCGTACCAGATGGCCAACCGGCTCGGAAAATGGGCTGTTGCCTGTGAAAGGGAAAACAGAGTGGGGTCGACTCCGAGGACCCGGTCCCCACGATACTTCGCACATACTTCTCACTACAAACAATCTGGTGCACCGTTAAACTATCACGGTGAGCCAAAAGCCGTGGCTTAAAACATGCCAACTGGCGAGACAACTCGGTCCTCCTTCTAGAACGGAGAGTCAGACTGTAATGACTTCTCCTCGATGTGGTCACTATGGTACTGTCACTCAGTTGGCATGTGAGACGCCCCCTTCCTCGTTTTCCTGAAAACCTGGTTCAGCGTGCGCAGGCCAGGCGTATGTGGCACGCGTAAATGGGCTGTTTAACTTTGTCAGCTATTGCACCCGACTCCGCCCTCAGTCTTCTGGACTCTGTCTTGACGTCGCGCCCAGGTGGATGAGGGAAGAGGGAGTGTGGTAGACGTAGCACTTGTCTACTATCATTACGCCAATTCGACTATCGTTTCCGACGATGTCTACCATGTGCTCCATACAGGGTGGAAACAAGGACGGTGACTTGCGCGTGAATTAGTTTATGATGATGCGATGCATCTACCGCACCCTCCCTCCCCACTTGGGCCTGGTGTCACGGTGGTGTCAACAAGACCAGAGGCAGGAGAGGACGCAGGTGGCTGGCACGGCGAAAATCTCCACCTTAGCGCGTGCCTTCACACCCGGCTCGGATTCCACTAAGTGAGAGTGCTATAGAGGCCACATTGAGAAGGGGTCATTGCAGCCTGACTCTCAGTCCACCCGTCGGCCACCTCACACAATCACACACTAGCCTAACTGTGAGGTTTATAGTGAGGAATATGCGCTGTGACTAACGATCACGTTCTCTCTTCCCACTCTCACGCACCAGTCTTTTGTTCGAGCTGGTCAGTCGTCTGATGCGGGAGTGAACGCAGTGGCTGACAGAGTTAGGGAGCCTTCTGCATGCGCCAAATGTTCCACCTGGCCCTCCAAACACACACCAGGACTGCACACACGAGCGGGGAGCGACCCCGAACCGCACATTTGTGATTGATTGCCATTAAAAAGGATCGATCGCAGTCTGACTGTCAGCCCACAAGTTGGACACTCCGTACAAACGCACACTGGGCCGACTTCGTGGCCGGATTTGGGGCGTCAGTGTGCAATCTCCCAAGCCAAAGCTTTTAGATCGCTGTGTTAGTCTCACGCGCGTCAGATTGTTTATAGTGAGGAATTAGGCGCTGAAAGTCGACTTCGCTCACTCTACCTTATCACGTACACCAGTTAACTGTCAAAGCTGGTCAGCCACCTGACGCTGAGATTGGGAGAGCTGACTCATAGAACTGGGAACAGCTCGTCCACTCATGCCACACGCAAGTAACCTGTCCCCCTCCCCGTACGAACACACCAGGATATCACACAGAATGAGATGGACTGCTCCGTTCTTACATGTGTCAGAGGAGCCACGTTGAGAGAGGGGTCGAAGGGCACACTTCCCACTGGGGAGGGCGCAGGTGGATGGCACGGTCTAGCCCGCACCTTCGCGCACCACTCCACACCCCCTGGTCCACACAACAGATAACCAGGTTTTTGGCCAACAACCTGGCTGGCACGACCGAAGACGCGCCTAGGCATGCCGTCACACTCAGCTCGGACCCCACGGAGTGGGAGTGCCATCAAAGCCACATTAAGAAGGAGCAATTGCGGCCTGACTTTCAGACCTCCAGCCGACCACTCCACACAAACGCACAGCACTGGGCCGACTGCGAGGTCCAAGTTATCCCGTCAGTTGGCAACCTTCCAAGCCACGGCTTTTAGCGCATCGTGATAGCTTCAAGCGCGTCAGACTGTTTATAGTGAGGAAAATGCGCTGAGTCGTCGACCTCACCCCCCCCTTCCCATTCCCATGCCTCGGCCACTGTTCGAGCCGGTCAGTTGACTGGTGCGGAGAATGGGCGCGGTGGCTGACATAGTCTAGTGAGGAGGAGTAGGAAGAGAGTGTGTTGTTTCTTTGTTGGTTGTTTTGACCGTGAGTTTAACATCTGCGACGACGTGGTTCCCCAGCATTTGTTCAGGGCACCTTTTCTAGCTCCTTTCCCCTTGCAGGGGCGAGCAGTGCCACCCTAAAAAGGGCTGCACAGTCGTCAGGCGTTGTGGAACTCCACTATGGGCCACGGATTTGGTGTAGTGGAAGAACGACCCGAGTTAGCCTGGAGAGCTTACGACGACGCCGTAAGCTGGTGGCCTCTTGCTGTGTACCAGACGGAGCCTTGTCTCGACGATGCCGATACGAAGTTCCGTCCGACCAGCCGACCAGCGGAGTCCACAATACCGTGCGCGCAGATGCACACACGGATACCTTCACGTAGTTTAGCCCGACGGTCGACGCGGTTACCAGGGTGTGACCGCTATGCAGAGCCTAGTTTTGAGGGGCCACATGTGAGAGTTGGGTGCCAACAAATGGACGCCAGACGTAGTCTGCACCCGCAAGCAAGTGAGCGACCTACTGCGACCGTCACGTGAGCTCACCGCTGGACACCCCTTCACCCCTCCCACTTCTTACTATCATTATAAATTAATTTACGCGCAAGTCACCGTCGTTGCACCCTCCCTGCTGTACGATACGCGATGGAATCGCCGTTAGCGACGGTCGAACTGTCGTTGGGCAGGTCAGAAAACCATGCCATATTGGCAGAATGGGTTTACAAGATAGGTCTCGCCTGCGAGCGCTTTAGCAGCATCACACGATGTAACTTATCTGCCTGCATTTACTACGGAGTTCGCCACCTTGCGGAGTTATTAGCCTTCATGTCCTATGGCGCATGTGCTACGCCTGACAAAAACATGCGGCTAGGCCGTAGCTCGAACAATTTATTTAGAAACTCGTCGGCCTCCCCAGCCTGATTTATGTATGGCTATTTGATGACAGCGACATGCAGCTCCGAAATGTTCAGGTTATCAGTCTAAGCTCCAAATTTTCTCACTGCTGCGTCCTTAAGGTGTTTTTTAAAGTTTTCTTTACTGGCAAGGGTGTGGTTTGTGGTCGGGGTTACTTCGGGAAGCAATTGTGTTAAAAGAAAATAACTGAGGATATATATATTTGTACGTGCCAGAGGAAGGAATAAGAAGACCTCACGGTGGCTGTTGCGTGTTGGTAGTCAAGACGCTTTAAGGTAGTCATCGGAGTAAAAATACTACAGTGCAGTACCTTTCTGACGATGCCTTTAAAGGGGAATTGAATTCATTTACTATTATCATTAAGTAGTAAAAATAGTGTCACCTTTAATTGGTGACAATATGGAGAACTAGAATGTGTGATACCGCAAATTTCTTAGATATTAACCTCTTTTGCTCAACACAAACGCTCCCCGAAATAAGTAATCCCGGCCGTAGACCGTACCCTGGCCCTTTTTATTTTTGAGGATACGCTCGTAATTTGTTAAAAAGTACAGTTGTTCATAAAGTGTTTCTCTTACCTGTGTGCGCTATTCCCCTAGATTCGAACAACCAAGCGTGTTTCAACCTGGCCAGTGGCTTTTGTTGGAGGACTTCCCTGGGAGGGATGTGTCACAAAACCTTACGAGCCGCATGTGATTGAGAGAATGTGGTCCGTATTCAAACCCTGGCGGGTTTTCCCCGTTGACATGGCAGGCTTTGCTGTGAACTTAGATCTGATACTATCCTACCCCACTGCGGAGTTTGTCTACCACAAGAAACCCGGCCTTCTGGAGACAGAGTTTCTCAAGCAGCTAGGGCTTCGGAATTTCACTGAAATGGAACCTAAGGCAGATGGTTGCAAGCGGGTAAGTGGCTGCCGCCCGCCAAATAAATTGTTCTACTGACCCAATTGTGAAATGCTCGACGGAAGACTTCCGAGTCTTTCCCAATAGGGGTCAGTTGATTTATTTGAATCCACCCAAATACCAACTCAGTTGTTCTTTGAAAATCATTCTTAGGGGCCAGTTCCTTGTTTATTTTAGTCTGGATCCCACATCTCTTATGTCACGTCCTTTTTTTCTGTCCCTTTCTGTCCTACCTTTAATACCCATTCTCACTGTCGCACCCAGGTTCCAGCTGTGTATTTCTAATGAGCTACTTTGACTAGATCCGGCCATTAATTTCAACACAGCGCGCGAAATCTGTTCTGTTAATTTCTACGTGGCTTTTTCATAAAATCGGTTAACTCTAAAGACGGAGATTTTCTACATGAAGAAAATTGTTCCGACCAGAACGCACTTATTTAGCCACGAAAAGCGAAATTGGGACCAGATCGTTATTACAACCGACATGCTAATTTACTTTTCTTAACTGTGCTGCGATTGGGTCCATTGGAACCGACCTTGAAGATGTGGCACATGATGCCTTCTATCCTTCCATCGCAGTCCTTCGCCAGTGGGTCTAGTGAGTTCGAATGACTCTTCTCCAGCGGTGGGTTCACGAACTATCTCAACACATTGACTGACCGTGTCAAGTCTGGTTTTGAGCTGACTTCCTTTTCGTCGCCTTCATTGGGGAAGCGGCCTAGGGGCTTAAGGCATTAGCATTGTGCCATACAATGCGTCCAGACAACCTCATCTGTCTTCCTTGGGTATCTGGACGAACTCTCGTGATGCCGCCCGAAACCCTCCAACTTCCTCGTGTCTTCAACACACCCAGACTAGCGTAAAGCTCCTTCAAAAATCAAGCCCACGATATTAGATATCGCGAGTGACAGGATGGCAGTTCGACCATCGATTTCGATGATGTCCACCGTGTGCCCCACAGCTGCAGCAGCGGTGGGAGCAGGGACGGTGACTTGCGCAGGGGTTTACAGTGCCGGTAGACTAGCGCTGCATCTACCTACACTCTCTCCTCCTCCTTCGCCCGGTGTCAAGAAGACCGGAGACGAGGGAGGCCGCAGGTGGATGGCTCGGTCGGATCCTCACCTTGGCGTCCCACCACACCCCCTGGTCCACACAACAAATAACCAGGATTTCAACCAACACAACCGAGATTGGAGTGACAGGATACTACTTTGTTGGACGCCTGACCGAATATTGAGCGATTCTGGAGTATTGTAAATACTAGGGACGCGGGCACTAGTAGGCCGTCGACTTTAACGATGCTGCTTAGGATCGTTATCAACCTCGAGGACTTACGATTAACGTTACTAACCACTGCTGCTAAGCCCTGAGAGCACACGGCCATGAATTGCTGGTAGCTATATTTAGATACCCAAGCGCCAAGTGGCGGGTATTCGTTACCAACTACTTCGATTCAGGCTCTAGATCAGAACCAGATCCCAGTTTTCGAGTCTCGGATGTCTTGGACTTTCTTGAATTTTCCTCATCGAGTCGTATGGTATACAGAGCTTTAGGCGCGTCCGAGAGGTGACCTCCAACGTTTATGCGGAAGAAAACGCAATCTAACCGAAGGAAGGTGCCGCTTTCATCACCACGCATCGATCCGCCACCATGCTTCTAACCGCGCAGCCTCTAGTTCTCCAGAATGTAAGCGGTGTGACTGACTGGAGTACAAATTCAGTTCCATTTGCGGCATTGTTCGAAGCGTATACTGCCCACGCGACTTTGGTTAACTTAGCTCGACCATATTTAACTACTTCCGCATCGAGCCCCAGGACAAAGTCGGTTGTAGAGAAATCACCGGTCCCATCTGGCAATTTCAATCCCCGAAAACGATAAATGGATCACGATGACGACGTTCGTCAACCATTTTGCAGCTGTGAATAGTACATATCTTTGTCTGGGAACTGATTGCTAGAACGAAATTTTTTTCTCAACCGCTTCCTGAGACTCGCCCTTGCCCTCGTACATTTGTCTTGCTGTTCGGCAGCCGATGCAGCCACGCAGACGGGAACAAACGAATGGTTTGGAAGGTACGTCTTCACTCACAAGTCGCTGATTAGCCTCCACTCGATTGACCAGTTGCCGTGCAGTGGTTGTTAAAAGCGTCGTATGGGCCTCTGCGATTGGGTAGAAAGCTGTTGTGCATTTCGCAAATCTTGATATCCAGTAACTGGAGTTCGAGATACGGACGTCAACAGGCGTCAACAAGACACCAATGAGAATCGTGACATCGTCGGACTTTGAGTACCGCGACCGAGGTACGTTATTGCACCCCGTCATCTAGTATCAGGAGCCGCCCCTGGTTGACTCCTTCGCCCATACAACAGGACCGGTGTTGTGGAGCTCGTTTATTCCTGTTAACGCTGTGTATGAATCATTATACTATATTTGATTCAATAACTGGAGACTCTTCGACTTATCGGAGTCGCCACCATCCTACCTTTTGTTTTCGAGGGTGACACCTGTAATACTTTGAATTGTTAGGACCTCACCTTAAACTATTGTCAGCCAAAGGACCTATTGCGACACATTTCTACCACCTTCTCTTCGTATGCACTAACTTCAGGGCCACCCGCTTTTCCAAACCGTATGGCTTTTCTGTGCTCAAAGTTGAACGGTACTGTCTGTGCTACTGTCACTGTCGTCCAATAAATTAATGCCTTTCAACATTTTAGATCCTTGTCTGGCATACACAAACCAAGCCTCCTGAGCTTAACTTCGTGCAATCCCATCTGTCTGGAAAAATGCCGGAGCTCTTTCCCGATGAAATTTAGGTTAACTTGCATGCACAATCATACCATAGGCGATGATTTTCCTTTTTTTACAAAGTTCTGACTATTGACTTGACCCCATCCTCATGCTTACTTGTTTTTTATCTGTACGTTTAATACCTACAATGCATTTATCGTGGCTCTCTTTACCTGAATTTATACTTTGCCGATGAGTAAGGATACCCGTCTTGTCCTGGTTGCAAGACAAGACACGGGTGCTCTGTTGTGCCTTGTAACTGTGCTATACAACCCATTTCTTTGGGGGAGCATTTGCCCAGCCACTCTGTGAACGGTGGAGGGAAGGCGGAGTTCACAGTGAATGTCGTCATAGACGATTTTGAGTGCATTTAAAGTCTAAACGATAATCCTTGCCAGCCACCACACCCCACCTCGTCCCTAATTGTTTGGCAGACTCGGAGTCGACTGGCGCATAGGTGAGGGAGGAGAGAGACTGACACCAGGGAATCCACCCATCAGCGCACTCCCCACCACAGTAAATCTGACACGCTTGGATCCCTCACGACGCTCCGTGTAGTCGTGGCTCGGAAAGTTGCCAACTGGCTGGATAACTCGTTCCTTTTCAGGACCGAGATTCGGGCTGCAATAGTCCCTTCTTAGTGCACCCTTATGGCGTTCACACCCCCGTGAGGCTCGAACCGTCCTTATGAAAGCCTGGTACATGCACTACTGACCAGGTTGTGTGTGGTTCGCGTAGGCAGACCCTTTACCTCTGTCATTCACTGCGGTCGCGCCCACCGGTCGTCTTAGCATTGCTTTACCCTCGGATCTAGGTGGGTGAAGGAAGACAAAGTGCAGTAGGTGCTGCCGCGGGCAAGTCGGCGGCCCGGCGCCCATTCTCTGAGGTATGCGGCGGAAGCCGTCGCTTGAGACGGCCGAACCGCCGCGTGTTTATGTGCGTTAATATGTAGAAACCACGTTTCACAGAGCCGGGCTGTCTTTGGTACGGTCCGGTTGCAGAATTGGCATCTCGACCGTGGCGCGTGTCTTCTTAATGGACAATGTGAAGAATTTCAAAAGTAGCTTTTATTGGTGCCAGCGTTAGAGGCCCGAGGCCATACCGGTTGAATGAAGAGTAATTAAGTTAGTAAAAGCCGAAACAACTTCAATGTTTGGCAGACAAATGTGATTCAAATGGCCTTCGGACGGAGTACATCCGTAGCAAACAGGAGGCGGTAAGCCTATCTTCGTCATCTCTCAACACAGCTAATGATCAACTTTAAAACAGCGACGCAGTTCTGTCACAGGTGCGTCAGTTTACTTTTTTAGCAAGTTTTTCTGCCGTATGGTGTGAACCTTATACAGTACTGTCGGGGAGACCGGAAAGTAGGTATTTGCAATCGTACGTTTCATTGCGAACTCTTCCCGGTGCCACCGTTTCGAGATAGATGGGAAAACTAATGAAAAGACCAGCGAAAAGGGCAAAACGAAAGCAAACAGGGAACGCTGGGGTACTCACTGATGAGCCGAACCCCTCGCAGCTGTGCGCTGCAGCGACAGAATATTGGAGAGATAGTTGTCTGGGTTTTTGGCTAGCACCTGTGCTTAGAGTCGACCCCAGAGGAGCGTAGGGTGACGGTTCACACCCGACTGTCATCTTCAACCTTCCATCCACAAGATCTACACGCCTGGGTCGTTTTGTGACGATCTCTACCGAACGCATGATCAAGAGAATTTAATCCGTACGTAAGTATGAGTGGACTAGGTCTTGATTAAAGCAATTTAACAGCAGCTGAATAGATTCGGAATTTTGCAGATGAAAGAACCTAGATTAAATCAGAGACAACCCATCCAAGTACTGCCTTGGAGAAAAAAATAACTGAAGGTCCTTTGCCATGCAAAACGTGCGCGCTATGAAAAAGCATATCAACAGAATATTGGGCTACCAGTAAGGTGTTTACGGTTCTTGTCAAACGCGATTTTTCTTCACCAGTTTGTTTCGTTGTGGCGTTTTATGGCTTATTTGGAAGCATTCTGCCCTGCACGGCCGTTGCCATCATTTTCCTGTACTTTTCGTGTTGTGCAATTTTTAGACCTAGATACTGAATCGTTGGGTTAAGAAAAACAAGCATTTCAGTTGCTTTTCACCTTAAATCAAGTTTCCAAAGCCCCTAGTGACATTTGTGCTTTGTTCTGAAAGAACTGCCTAGTATTGGTTGACCAAACTCGAAAATGGCACATTCGAAAACAAAAGTGCCATCCCCTCCCGGGTCAACGACTGATTTCAATATGGACCGCCTGGATGCGCTGCTCGGGTACGGAAACATGAACCCTCCCATATCACGGTTTGCCTTGTTCCAGAGGGTAGGGCTATGAAGGTTATTGCTGGGGCTAGGAGGATCAGGGTTAAGGCTAAGACATTGGAATTCAACGCAAGGCCACCCGTATTACGGTGGGTCCATATTCCCGTGACCAACCGGATGCTTTTTTGAAAAAAACTAGCGGGAACTTGGCGGAAAAGTTGTACCGGCATCACCAGACCAGCCTCAAGCACTTGGAGTTTATGGGGAAGTTCAAAAGCCTCGGTTTGGATGCCGCATGCTTTGTTGGAAAGAAAAAGCACCGGCGCCTCATTGTTGTTGCCGATTTGGTTGTGCAGCACGAAT